TTAACATAAATTTGCTGAAGACCATTTGAACTGGGTCGTAAAGTTTAATTTGAGCCATAATTACCAATTCCTTGTTTCGGATTTCCTGATCGGGTGAACTTTTTATCGTTATGGAGTATGCTAGTATTTGTCGTCGTTCTAAAAATTTATCGATTCAATTAAGCCTGGTATTTAAAAAATCGGGTTAAGTAGGCTATGTCAAGTCGATCGTTTGTGATATATCTAGAATTTTCCGATATTCATGATCGTATCCAAACTATTTTATATGAGTGCTCGAGAGGAAAAATCAGTAAGTAAAAATTTACCCCTTGAAGAATTGTAATTACGATTAATCATATCTGATATATATGATCGTATATTGTATTGTAATTAGTTACGAAAGATCACAATTCTTCAGGGGATAGGGGTTTGGGCCCTGTAACATAGTGGTTAAGCTCCCAAACCTCCACAGACAAGGTAAAGGTTCGTGGCAGGCTGGGGCAATTTGTTGTATCAAATTTCATATGCAAGTATAAAAATGGATTAGAAATTTCTAGAAGAACTAATTGTGAAGAGATTGTATTTTGTGTGATGTAGGTCATAGAATATTTGGGTATACAAAAGCTGTATAAATAAGTCCAAGGTCTGGTTAACCATTAGCAACATCAATAAGGATTAAATATAATTACAGTATTATGCATATAAGTTCTAGAAAAAAAAAGACTAGACAACAACAATAACCTTATATTTTTAATTTAGATAGTATCAACATATTTACATCTAACTTATAGAGTATTTTTACTTGAAAAGAATAATTAATAAATTGTGCAAATAAGTCTTAATTTGGTTAGCCAGTAAACTTAGATAAAAATATTTAATTGAAAATATAATATAATAGTAACTCAAATTGAAATAATAGATAAAGTGGTAAATACAAAAACAATCTGTAGTAAAAAATTAGCCTTATTAGATTAGAAAACATCTCTAACACATTTAAAAAAAACCAAAAATAGAAGGTTGATAATTATAAAAAAAATTGATCAATAAACTGAAGATATATAAAAACACAAAATAACTAAGAGCACTGGATTGGTAGTATTACAAGATACAAACAAGATATAACTGTATTGCAAAGATATATCAACATTAAAACACCAACCAATTCTGATAAAGTTAGAAGTAATCAAATATTATGAGCTTTGTTAAAAGTAACTACTACGTATTATACAATATAATACATACCTTATCAACATATAAAATCTTCAATAGTATAATAACAATGTATATAAAACCTAAATATATTAAAGAATACAAGTTATCAAGGTCTGAAAGCTAAAAAATTAAAAACATAATATATAATTAAGAAGCTTGACAGAACTAGAATATTAGGAGGTTAGAGAATAATCTGAAAGAACCCTGTCGCCAAATAAAGTGAAATTTTGAAGAAAAGATTACAAAACCTTGGGTAATTTTTCTAGTACCTGTTTGGAAATAGATTAGATGCAGTATGAAAGATGTGGGAAATATATAGCTAAACTAGATATATTTAGTTTCATAGCATAAAATCTAATAAAATTATTAACTGAAATTGTTTGACTAAGCTAAGTTTACCTTAAAGATAAAGTAGTTCTAAGATCAAGTATTCTAAATTAGGCATTGTAATATAATATACTTGTATGATTAAAACAATAATTATAAAATATATAAGACCAATGAGATCATTTATAAAAAAAAAATCTTCAGGGATAAATTTTTACTTACTGATTTTCTCTCTTAAGCATTCATATCGATATACAATGACTAAGGGTGTTCTCAAGCCCCTTATTCAATGGATCGGAAGCAAAATTTTAAAATAGTTAGATACAAACCATCTTTTTTCTTCAAAAATTTATCATTGATAAAGGTCATCCTTTTAATTTTTTATATATCAAAAATAATAAACAATGAATTCTCAACAAATTTCTAACTGATATGAAAAAATAATCACTTTATTTTTAATTCTCGAAGCTTTTAAAACAAATGATTGATACAACCTATCATTTAACCTTTAATCAAACCGTAATGATACTGCTATTCATTTTTTGTTCAAAATTTAAATATTAATATTAATATTTGCAAGGAAAAATTTTTATTTCTTGTTGATGTAATGCAACTTTCGCTAATGATTTCCTAAATAGATTCTATTGCTGTTGCAACAAAAGATTTATTTAAATTGATAAAATAATTAAAGGAGAAACCGACGCAGCCGAAATTAAAGTTTCGGCAGCCGGTTGAGTAGAAATTTTTTTTAAAGGATTTTAGGTGGCATAACGTAGATCACGAAAAACAGAAAGTGTATTCAAGCATTTAATTCTATAAATGTCGTCATTGGCTGAGATGCTTGAGCGTCATCATGATCATTATTTAACTGATCAATATGCTTGAGAACACCCTAGGTCTATTTTTAAAAATCTATTGACTTAGGATATTCTCAAGCACCTCACTTAATAGATCGGAGGCAAAATTTTAACCAAGTGAGTTACTATTTAATCGGCGAGATACAAACCGTCGTTTTTCTTCAAAAATTTACCATTGATAAAGGTCGCTCAAGCATTACTTTTATATTTTTCATATATCAAGCATAATAAACAACGAATTCTCAACAAATTTCTACCGATATAAAAAATAGCCACATTACTTTTAATGCTCGAAGCTTTTAAAACAAATAATCGATACCTTGATATGAACATAATAAATATAAATCATCTATCTTTTAATATTTAATCAAACCATAATGAATACTGCTATTCCATTTCTTGCTCATTTAAATTTGAAAGTTTCTCCATATTTAATGTATAATGAAGGTTATAACTTTTTCAAACATTTTCGTATTACTTATGCTACTTTCAGTAATTGTTTTCACGATTAGAAAACCACCCTGTCTTTAGTGCAACTGCATCTAATGCAACCGTTCTGTTGCTATTCTATTGCAACAAAAGATTTAAATTGATATCATTAAAAGGAAAAGATATCATTAAAAGGAGAAGCCGACGCAACCGAAGTTGAAACTTCGGCAGCCAGTTGAGTAGAAATGGTTTTATTAAATTTTGTGTTTTAGTGCATAACGAAGATCAAACAGAAAAGAGTATGTATGCTTAATCATTTAATTCTATCAATGTCATTGATTGTGATGCTTGAGCGTTATCATGGTCATCATTTAATCTATTGATTGAAATGCTTGAGAACTCCCTTAGTTGCAAGTTAATTTCATCGACTAACGCTACAATCATTATCTGGAAAAATATCTGGTTACTTAGTGCCGGTTTTAACGTCCGCCAAATAAGAAAATTCGAGAAATTGGTCAATAATGTTGATGACAAGTACATTTTTTATAAATTTATTTTTTTAAACTTATTTCTTGCTCTAAATATTCATTATCTGATAAATATTTATGATCATTGGTTTTACAGAATTTTCTTTTTGTTTGTATGTTATGATTCATACATTTCCGAATAAAACCAATTATGATTGTGGTTCGAGCTAATTTATCATAACATTACCCACTAATATATACTTTAACCATCAGGAGATCCTGTGTTATTACATAGTTGTTTCATATATTCTTGTAGTGTAAAAAGTATCATATTATGGCCTACGTATTTTGGAAATGTTAGGTAGAATTATGATATTGAGTTTGATTTGGAAAAATAGGTGACAGGAAAATGGAACTGAAGAGGTATTATTATATATTATTGGCTTCGAATAAGTTGTTTTTCATGGAAATGGAGGTAGGCTATTAGTAATTCTGTGGTGATAAAAAGAACAAATAACTCATTATTGGTAGAAATGATTTAAAATAATTTGAACTGCATTAGTCGTATCTTGGCATTCGCTTAATCGAAATTTCTTCCATCCAAGAAGTTTTTATTCCAGGATTCTATAAATGGGTAAGTCTAGACCCGGAATTAGTACGTACGTACGTACGTACGTAGATATGAAACGTTTCAGGGTCAAGTTTAATGTAAGTTACCTAAAGCACGTACATCCCAGCACTAATATACAATGATACGCTATTGCTAGTGATACAAATTGAGACACGCGGTAATTACGATGCGCAAGAAAAAACAAGTAAATTACTTATAACCTGCATTCATGTTAACGTAAAAATAACCATGGTAGTATTTATCTCTAATCCCTAAAAAAAAAAAAAGAAGCTAATTCTATGCGCACTGTCAACTATGCTTACGTACATATACTTCCAAAGCTTGTGCTACTCTTACAAATCGCGTAGAATGTTCAATGTTTAAGTAAACATTTTGAACAAAGAAATCTAATGCACTTGTGAAATAATATTAAGTCATTACGACGTTTGAGCTTCGTAACATGATAATTTTCTTTGTCCGATTGCTTTTGATTTTAGTTTATTTTTTTAAAATAACCTCACAAATGTGATTATTTGTTAAACTAATAATAGTACGTATTTAGCTTACGATTACGTATGTGTGTATATATATATGTATCTTGCAATGTATATTATTATGTTCTTACGTAACGATATTGACAGAAAGTTGCATTACCTGGATCATTTGTGCGCGAAATTAGGATTAAAGTTAAAACGTAGTATTACATCATTCCTGATCTCATATTAACGCATATGACCTCATTCGAAACAAAGCATGGAATATTAAAGTGTTTTTCCCGGATGCAATATGATATCGTTTCATCTAAAATTTACTACGGTTAACTTAATTTTCAAAGCTTTGTCTTGCGGTGTGCAAACGAATCATTAAAAAGATCTTTGTTCTGTTAACGAGTATAAAGATGTAAACAAACACGATCATATTATGTAAGACAATACGAATTGTGATCAAAGTTCAGTTATAATTTGTGTTATTGTAAAAAAAGTTATCGGACACGTACAAGGAATTCAAAATGGCTCAATAAAAGGCGTGTTTTTTCCTTTACATTTAGATAATTCACATAGTCTGATAATATCTTTTGGACCTGCATTAAAAAGGTATTGACATATCATAAAGGTTAAAATGGCACGAAGTAATAACCTGACACCCGTTGACGTATTACAAATTTTGATTATACCAGTTTGTAATCAAATGAATGTTAATGAGGAAGATATTAGAAGAATTGCCGTTCTTACTTTAAGAAACCTTACTCCTCTGAGACGCGACTTCCTTATTAATTTGACCGACAGAATAAATTCTCATAGTGTAGAATTGCAAAGACTAAGCAATGATAGTCTGGAAAATGCAATTTATAACGGGTGCGAATTTTCCAACTTAATTGAGTGGATAAATTCTTTTGTTACTAACGAATTGCAAAGACAACCAAATCCGGAAAATGAAATTTTTCTAGGATATAACCTTTTT